AAACCAAAAATTGAACGAACATAAAGGAACTCCTTTATACCTATATTAATCACCTAACATCTAACTGCTACGCCCCTACAATCTTGTACCTGTTCACACTCTCATCCCTAAGATATGTGCCCAGTAATGGTCAGTTTCAAACTGTCTTTGTTAACCTGAAGATGAACCAAGAAGGTCGAAATGTTGTTTTTGTACTTTATTTTAATTAAAGTTTTTAATACCCATACTAGCCATCTCTGCTATACACCAGTACACATATGCTTCTTTAAATATGTTGCTCATTTTGAACAAGCTATATTTAATAATCCTTGTGGTATCAAACCTTCTATTCCATTCAAGTTTAATATCATCAGAGGAAGGACATCCCAGTTCAAAATGTTGTGAACATTAAAACATCTGTTAATTGTTAGCCATTTGTTTGTGATTTAAAGTTTGTGGTTTTATTATGCCACAGCTTTCTTTAGCTAACTTTTTGTCAGGAAAAAGCTAATTGAAATTAGAATATGTTTTAACTTCAAAACCATCTTAATGACTAAACCTGAAAATGGAAGATTAGTTTCATTACTGAGAAATGTGAAGTACTCATTTGGGCTAAGGAAGTTTGGAAAGGGCTTGTTTATGTAGTTATTGTGCAGTGATCTGTTTCACTGATAAGATGAAAGTTTGTAAGTAAGGCTTGTTCTAAAACCAAAAGTTCCAGCTAAGAAGTATAAATTTGTGATGTGATAAAATGGTGTGTGTGCTGTGGTACACATTAATCCATACTTTTGATAGTAATCATATGGAAACAAAAGGCTACATTTAATTTGGCTAGCAAATGTACCTGTGCGATGAAGGGTGACAGGTTTATGAAAGTTGTTCTTTCTGAAATATGCCAGTAACAATATAGAGATTGGAAGTACACAAAGATAAAATTATTCTTGTCAACTGGGCTTCATTATTTGAATAAAATTTTATTTTCCATTTTAGTGTGTGTGTGTTTTTATCAAAAAGCAGTAAGTAATATGTGACTTAAAAACATCTTGCTTAATGTAAGTGTGTTTTGAAAGTAAGTGTAAACAGAGTGTGAAAAAAAAATGCTCTCCAACGATTGAGGGGATTTGAAAATGAAATGTAATTGTAGAATTAATGCTTTACCAGCTATGAATATATAAATATTGTTTCTCTTTTCGTCTTAAATCTGCCAGTAATGATTGAAAGTAGATAGACCGTTTGTATACCTCATGTAATGAAAGAGGAAACTGGAGAAATCCCATCAGTACTCGTAGCGGCCACCCCCACTGACTGATCTATATTTAGCCAACACTTGAACTATGAAATCAATGTATTTTAAAAGAAAAATAACTTCTTGACATATTTCTGATCATTCCTAATTGATTAAACTATATTTGACAGGTCCAAATGCAAAAACCTATGAGGAGATAGAAGACAAACAAACTTCTTTCAAATTATAGTATGATTATAAGTTTTAGGGGAAGAGGGTTAATTGACCTCAATGGGCCAAATGGCTGTTGGTCACTGTGATTTTAGTAGAATTAACTGATAAATTGATTAGGTTTTTGAATGTTTCATTTTGACCCGACATGTGCATATTTTCAAGCCAGGATATGCACACATGTTCACATACTAGATGTACTGAAGCGAAAAGAATGTGTTCTTCACTGTTTGCAGTTTTCATTTCATTTTTCAGACTAGCATTGTGAGCATGGTTTTTGCCCAATCAGAAATTCTTCAGAAGGAAGTGTACCTGTTTGAGCGAATGGACATGAATAGTAGGGAAGCAATGAAGCACCTCAAGTGTATAACTTTTGTACGTCCAACAAAAGAAAACGTTGAGCTTCTGACGCAAGAGCTAAAGAATCCTAGATATGGCCAGTATTTCATATGTGAGTATTTAGTATTAAGTACATAATGTTATTGGATTAAAGAGTTAATTCTCATCATAATTTGTTTTTTTTGAAGATATAATTTATAGATATAATGGTACAAATATGAGGTAAATATTGTAGTGTACTCTGTGCTGTGAGTGAGTGATGGCTTCTAAGCCACACATATATATTTTTTATTTTTATTAATTTATGTACCTTTTGTATATAAAATCTAGAACATTGTTATTATCTTCTTGACCTATAATGAACTTGTAGTGTGTTTTCAATCTAAAAATTAGACCTATGCGAGTACTGAATTACTTAAATTTAATATACTTTACGATAACTTAGCACACTGTTTGAGAAAGAATGATGTACCTTTCCATGGTTGTTGGAAGGTTTTCACTGGCAGTGACTCTGAAATAAAATTATTAATTTAGAGGCATGGTACTGTATACTGTGAATGCTAAGTTTTATTTGAGTTTTTTAATTGGTACAGGAATAATTCTGTTGATTATTTCAGTTATTGAAGATCTGAACCCCCAAAAATATTGTGACATTTATAAAAAAAAATATATACTGTAAACAAAAGAAGTGAATCCTACTGAAATAATTATCACTTTAGAATAAGTAAATATATATATATATATATATATATATAAAGATAATCAGTCATATATATATTTATAAAATTATAATATCTCGCTTTATATTACCTTTGTAAATTTACTTTGATTTATAACTGGCAAAAATTACCTATGGATAACATATTTTGACCTACAATTTACTTTGTGTGATACCATAAAGGTGAACTTAATTTGGTAAATACCGTATTAAGTAACCAATTCTGTACTTCAGGACTTTGTTATGTGTGTTTTTCAATATTCATCTATCAGAAATGAACCTATGTTCAAACTGAAGATGAATGAATACACAAAATTTTCTCAACAACATTGAAAAACAATTTCTGACTATTTTTGTCTTATTATGCTTTCTTTATCACTTTTTACTTATTCACAATGAATTGCTAAGTGTTTTATTCATTAATTTGCAACAGTTTGATTGTATTATTGTGAGTAAATATTAAAATATTAAACAATTCTCAATCACATGCTTTACATTTATATTGTATGTATCTGATGTTCAATAAAAAGATATTACAATCTCAAATATAAGTACTGATGTCAAATGAATGATTTATTAGTAAGATTTTATCAGTCTTGAAAAAAGGTTATTTGACAAAAATCACTGATGAAGATTAGCTATGGTCCATCCAGAAGAAAGCTACTTACTACAGTAACACTCGTAGTTGCAGCTTGCCATTTACACATGGCAAAAGTAACACGTACTTAAGAATTACACCAGCTAATATAAACACCCAAACATTACTAGCAAATATATATATATATGTCACTCCAAGTTCTATAATTTATATATTTACATAGAAATATATACTGACAAAAGTGTTGTTTTGTTTATCAGATTTTAGTAATGTGATCAGCAAAGCAGACATAAAAACTTTAGCAGAATCTGATGAACAGGAGGTTGTAAGAGAGGTTCAAGTAAGTAAAGGATTCTATGAATATTCAAGTACTCACTGTAATATTATGTCTTAAATGCAGGTGTTGGTCCTGTTGTAGAGCACTGGACTTCAGAGTTGGCAGTCTGAGTTTGCAAAATATTACCTGCACTGTAAGTTGTGGTTGCATTATAAGAGTGAGTCAATCTCTTACTTGGGAAGGTGGATGATAGGGTACTTCTGACTGGCTGCCTTCCCTCTGAACAATAGATCAAAATTATGGATGATGGCAGATAGCTTTAGTACATTTGTTGTAAATATAAAGTGCAAATCTTAACAGTATTGTTTATGTATTTGAGCAAATATCTTGTTTTGTATTTGTGGTGCTGTGATATATTTGCATCTAATTTATGTAAAAAAGATTCAAACAATAAGTTTTAAAACACACTTACCTCCCCTCACACTTGAGTTTTATCCCAATGAAAGTTTCTCTTCACTGCCTATCTAAGCATTGGTGTGAATCTTACCTCACTTGCTCGAGCCTTTATACTCCACTATATTGCCCATAGCAATTTGAATCTTGTGATTCTCTCCACCTAAGTCAATGCACCCCCTATACCAGATCCTTAGAAAAGTTCCCTGTTATTACTTCCTATTCTTGATGTCAGAATATTACAACAACTGTTTTACAAGCTTCCTGGGGGTTTCTTTTACGTGTTGTATATACATACACTTTGGACAATGTTTGTTTTGACCCATATTATTGGGTTTTGAGTTTATTGCCTATTTCCTTTAATTTCAAGAAGAAAAAATATTCAGAGGCAGATATGAATTCTCACATTCATGCCTTTGATGTAGAGTCTTCTGGTACTCATAATCTTCCATCTTTGGAGTCTATCATTGTCTGGGCATTGGGAGAGACCCCTTTCATGCACAGAGAGGTGTGGAGTCTTACATGAGGTCTGAAGTTTCTTCTGCTGTAGGCTCAGATGCCAAGCTTGCGGGGGATCAGGGGTAGACTGGTCATAATTTGGACTATATTTTTCTGGCACTTTCCTTTGCTCAGACAGCTAATCACAAACCTTGGATGGACGTCCCACCTCCTGCATCGTTTTTTACAACTAGTACATCAAATTTGTGATGTATTGAGATTTCTCCTCAGGCTTACAACTCTTCTCCTTGTTTGTAGGAAAGTCATTTGGCTGATTACCTTTGCCAGACATTGCTATGCATGCTTTGAGATTTGCAAAATCAATTGAGAGAGGCTGATGTCCTTCCCGTTTATAGGATCAACATGCCTTACCTTTCCATATTTAGAAACTCAGAGGCTGGATCCTTTTCTTCCTCTTTGGAGTTTTAGGTCTGATACCTGTATTTGTCTTAACTCTCTCTTTACATAGATGCTCTCAGCCAGGACAGGACAGGTCTTCATTTGAGATTCATGTATACAGGGGTCTTTACCATTCCACTTATGTTCTGTTGTATCCTGATAGGTCCTCTCTTCCCAAAACTTCAGTGGCTAGAGAAGGGGATAAGGCTTTCTCTCCTATTGATCTTCCCTCCATTTGCCATTTTCCATTTTATGAATGCTTGGATCTGGATCCTCTTTTATGCACTGAAGGGTTTACATCACCATTTGTTTATCCTAAGATGTTGTGTGACTTATCCCCTGTCACTTTGATATTTTGGGTTCGTCAATAGGTGCATCTTCCTTACTCTGGACTTTCATTGGAGGGATGGAGACTTTTTCAGGTCTCATCTCATCTAATTTCCCATATCTTGATGTCCTTGGCAGCTCAGTTGCATTACTTGCTGGAGAGAATTGTACAGGCTGATATGTGGACCGTGCCTCATACATTTATATCTCATTATTCACATGACTTAGCAGTTGTCCTCTTGGAAGGTTTTTTGGCTACCCCCCATGGCCATTCTCCACACCCCAGCTCATTTGTAAAATAGGTGACTGACTTCATTTCTTTTGTGTTTTCTTTTTTCAGAAACTTGTTGCCTGGTCAGGTATGCTTATTTTTAAATCCGCACTAGTTACCAGTCAACCAATCAATAATTTTCCTGGTAGCAAGGAGCTTTGTTGAGATGAGGTGTTCCATAAGATCACTTTGTGTGCTTTCCGGATGATACACAATCATAACATAAAAACAAATCCACTACTGGACTGCCATGAGTAAAGATTAAGGGAATATTGCCCATCCCTGCTGACCCCTAGAATGAATAAATTGGGTTTGGTTTGCTTTTCAAAATAGGGAATGTGGTTCACCTATTGCACTATCTCCAGAACATCATTCCTAGGGACTCCTCAATGTGGGTATCCCCCCATTTCTTCTAGTGGAACATGGGAGTCCTTACCACTCCCAATGTCCAGTCTCTGGAGTGGTGGACAGAGGTTTATTCCTTCTGAGTGATGCTTGTACTCATAGTTGCACTAAAGGAGAAAATGGCAAAGCTGGTTGCCCTCCTACCAATAACCTTGGATGTTTTTCCCATATGTATGGTAGGAGCTGGACCAGCCTATCCGGGAGCCTTCTCGTAATTCTGGTTCAGAGATGACTCTTTGCCCATGTTTTTGATCATTCTCTTTATTTCTATGAACATGGAAGATGTTCCTTGAGTCCTTCTAGTTCTGTATGCGGAGCATAACTTCCTGTACAATTGGTTGAACTTTATTTGTTCCACAACCTCCTTGTAATTCTGGGGGCAGGAGGTGTTGCCTTGTCTCTCTGGTTGGGGAGTTAGGATTTTATTTCGTAATCCCAGACCGAGCAATCTCTGTTTCTTTAGGTTGAGTGAGGCATGACAGGTGCTGTAATTCTGAGTTTGGTTTATTACATTTTGTGCTTCTTCAGGTTGGGGAAGGGTTTGTCCAGTTTGGCATTGCTTGCTTTCTCTTCATAATATTGGTGGCTCGACAGGCAACATTCTATAATTTTAAGGTTTTTTGTTCCAATATTATCACATTACTGAACAAAACCAAACAATACAGTGGTGCTCATGCCCTATCTACTACACCTTGGATCTTGACTTGGGTCCACAGCACTATTATTCCAAGGAGAAGAAGTGGTCTACCTGGTTGAGGCCTGGATAAATTTATGTTCTTCTAAAGATGTTAGGATTTTGCCTCTCTGGCCAGTTAGTCGTTACTGCCCAAGAACTGGTTTTCATGTGGTCCAGGCAAACTAGTTCTAGAAGTAGTGCAGACCCCACTGGTGTGTAAATGTGGAATTCTTGCTCAAGTGTGAGAAGAGTTGTGTTTTGGAAGTTTGGTGTTTTTAAACTTGTAGTCATCGAGTTTCACATTATTGTTTTATGTGATGTATGTATGTTATTAACCCTATCATCATGGGCCAAAGGCCATGTCATTGCATTTGTTGACTTGCATTCAAAATTTTATTGAAGTACTATTTTATGAATGTATGTCAATAAATTTGGTATCAAACTGTAGATTGTAATTCAAATTTTAGCATTATACATTAGTTAATTTTTAATTTAAAAGTAACTATTCAAAAATAAATCCTAAATATTTATATTTTTATGTCACGTGGTATGTTAAATGCAGCATTGGTCCAAATACGAAGTCTATAGTTCCTTATGAATTAGAAACTCAAATTACCAATTTTGACAAACTAGAATGTAAAATAAGACCCTCCTATCTTTTCTGTTTTCTGAGATACTAATATATTTATTGAATCAATCAAGATGGCCCTGCCCACCTCTTCAATTTTTTAAAATACCTGCTTACGTACACCTACTTTACCCAATGACTTGTGTATAACTAAACAAAAGCTCAGAATGTCCCCCTAGTAGCTTTCTCAGCCTCCTTGAAGTATTTGAGGAGGCAAATTCTTTCTTTTTATGCTAGATTCCAAGCTGTAAGGTAAGACATTAGTGAGCTCGAAATTCATATTTTTTTAGATCCAAATACAGCTTTATTACTAAGCTTAATAAATTATAGTGGAATTCTATGGTATCAGTATAGTAATTTATGATTTTTGGTTATTTCAAAATGTATATGTAAAACCTAAACAAAAAATTATTTAGTTTCCAATCCTCCATGTGCAAAATTCGATAATGCTTAGCAATGTACGGCTACGAGTACAAAGTTCGTAACTAGAAGAGATAATTATTTGCTATATTTCTATATATATACTGTTCTATGTGTTCAGAAAAATAAGTTTAAAAACTTATTTGTAAATAGAATAATGTATGTACATATATAATGTATTATAACTGAAATGTGACTATTTTACAAAATACTAGTCCACTAAAACATGACCAAGACAGGTCACTTTGTAACTGCCAGTTTTATATTCTTGGAATTAGATACTGTAACATGCGTGCACGAGCACCATGTCATTGCAACTTCTGTGATGTTAGCCAGGCACAGCTGAAAGTTCAATATAATAAAAATAATAAATATATAATCTTATGAGATTTAACCTATTTAAACTAAATTTGTTATAATTTGTATTCATTCTAGAATGAAAAAACATTTTATGTAAATTGACCCAACACGTACAGAGATACAGTCGTGAAAATAACAGATATAATATAATATAAAGATTTTCTAAAAAAAAGTTTGATAACTATCCAGAGGTTATAAAGATTTCTCATTTGAAATTTGAAAATTTTTTGATGCATAAAAGTATTTTTAATCTTAAAATCAAAATTACTTTGCATGTTGGATAGTCAACATTTGAAAAAGAAAAAGGCATGAGAAAACATTGCATAAGAAATCTTAAAACTTAATAAAAAAAAAAATTATATTTTTTGTTCAAAAGCCTTGTGATGTTTACTGATGATATGCAAAATTTCATGAAGATAAGCTTACTAATTTAAAAGTTAAGGCATGAAAACTATAACAAGCACAAAATGGTTACGAGTTCTTTCCCTGGAACCGAGCCCATGCTGAGAGAGTTAAAGACATTTGTAATTATACAATATTTCTTCTACTTCAAATTTTGGCAAAAATATACAATGTCAATAGACCTACCTCATTGAAAGATAGTAAGAAAAACACTGTTAACTGTGATAAACATGTGCAAATGGTCATTTATTTAATGTTTCAGATTTAATTATCAAAAATTAAAAACTGGTGATTTCCATGCTAGAAATACCCATTTAAAATAAAATTTATATATAAAAACTGATGTGTTCTTTATTCCCTAAATGGGTGTGGTAGTGTAAGTTTTAAAGAAGTGCCTTATTATCTCCTTTGTGCAAGATTTGAACCCAGGACACTTTTATTACAACTGATTGCTCCACTAACTGAGCTAAAAGGCTAACCCACTAATAGTTGCTAGAGAGGCACTTTTTAGCAACTCAAACTACAACATATGTTTCGTATAAAAAAAATTAAAATGTGGTGAATAATTATTAGCTAATTTCCATTTCTTTCCAAATTATATTTTGAATCAGTTGAAAGCATCAAAATCTAACAATATTATTTTAAATCTTTCAGGAATTTTATGCAGATTATATTGCTGTGAGTCCTCATTTATTCTCTGTAAACTGTGTTGGCTGCTATCAAGTAAGCACATCTCCATTTCCTCATCTTTGTTTGAATTTCATAATTTTTACCTTTAATAGTGGCTATAATTGTATGTAAAAGCAGTGTTTTACCTTTAATAGTGGCTATAATTGTATGTAAAAGCAGTGTTTTACCTTTAATAGTGGCTATAATTGTGTGTAAAAGCACAAAAAATAAGAAACACAAGTTTATGTCTGCTCAAAATATGAGTAGTTCAAATAAAACATAGTATTAGGTTTCAGCAAGATGTCAATTTGTGAATGTTCTTAAAAAAACAATTTTTATTATTTTACATTTGATGATTCATGTTGTTTGCATTTTAAGCCACTCTATTACTCTGAATTGAGTGTTTTTCGTCATTAAATGTGAATTTTCTATGTTTGTTACATGTCCAATACAATTTCATTAAAAAAAAAAACTGTTATATAATGTCATCAAAAACTAACCACATTGTATTTTGCCATTTTTCCAGAAAGGGAGTATAAATGTATTTATTTTATTATAAAGAGATGTAGAAACTCATCTGTTGTAGAAAAATTACATAACCTTAGATATTATTTCACAGTATTTTTAAGATCCTCTGGTTTTATTTTACATTTACATATAATAGCATTTTGCTATATGTTTGTTACACTGCTGTAATTTATTGAAAAAAGTATTTTGTATTAAGTATAGGGGATCCAATTAAAATGTTCACTACAAATAAAAACCCTGCAAAGATTACAAAACTGTCATGTGCTGTTAGACTACTACACCAAACTTATACATCTCAGTAGAAATATGAAGTATTCCTTAGAAAAAGACAATAATTAGAATAAAATGCACAGAGGAACTGAAAAATAATGACTAGAACATAAGTAACGTCTTTTTCTAAGGAATACTTCATATTTCTACTGAGATGTTTAAGTTTGGTGTAGTAGTCTAACAGCACATGACAGTTTTGTAATCTTTGCAGGGTTTTTATTTGTAGTGAACATTTTAATTGGATCCCCTATACTTAAGTTACTTATGTTCTAGTCATTATTCAGAACTGTTTCATTTTGATCATTATACAGTGATTTCATTTCATTAGATCTCATTTCAGTAATATACATTCTAAGATAATACATGCCCTTATTTGAGTTAATGAGTTTTTCTCATGTTCTGTAAGTTATAAATCTTGTTACACATCAGTTAAATATACCTAGTTGTTTTCTTCTTATAGAAATATATTTCACCATCTGGTGTCTGTGGTTAGTTGCCGAAGTTGTTTTGGATAATTCTCATTTGCTAGCTGCCATTGTTGTGGAGCCTTTTACTTATACTCTTACTTACAGTTAAGCTCTTATTTATGATTGACTTCACCTTTTCCTGTATGTTCTCTTTGCATGCTAAATTTTACCAGATGAAAATTGACTCATTTTATGCTTTGTCAGCCTTTGTTTTTCTCTTCTCTTCCCTTCTCAAAATAGATGCTTCCTCCTGCTTGCTTTAAGGTTTTTTCTTCTTTTTCAATAAAAGGAATCTGGCTTTCTATCCATTTTGGGGACAGTTGTTCTATTTTTTGCTAATTCTGTTTCATACAAGTCATTTTTTTAGTGGTAGTTATGTGTATATAAACCATTTGAACTGTCAACAGACTATTTTTAATTAAAATGTGTAAGACTCAGTTTGGGTAACATACTTTTGAGATACTCGATTTGTTTTGAATTAATTGTTTTTAAGAACTTTTTTGCAAGTTAAGACTATAATTTTTAAATTTTGTTTATTTCCATTTCGTTAACATTTACAGAAGCTGCTAAGTATAATTGTTTTTCCTTACCTTTACTGTATAACTGCATATTTTTATCTGTGTGAGCACAGGAAGATTTTAGTTTAAACTTCTTGTTTATTTGACCCCTAGAAATTGATAAACGTACATTTTTTTCCTTACTTTTGTGACTTATAATATTATTATGTTAAGGCTTCACAGTTTTCAAACATTTTAATGTATCCTTATTTTATTGACTTGTAATAAAAGTTGTTTAACACAGTTTGTTTCCCTATCTTTATTTTTTGTTTCTCGGAGGGTTTCTATGCTATATCTTTTTAATTTTTAAATGCTTCAATGTTTCATGTATCTTGGTCTCTTTTTAAGTTTTTGTTTATATTATTTCCTGATTCCTTTTCTGTTCCTCATTGCAGGGCCTGGGCTGGAACCCAGTTCATCTTCAAAGAAGTACTCAAGCTGTAATCTCTGTACTACTTTCATTAAAGAAGAACCCAGTAATTCGATATCAGGGATCATCAGAGTTGGCTAGGAGGTTAGCTGAAAATGTGCGAGTAAGTTTCACTTGTTATTGAAGGAAACTGGAATTTAATTTCTGTTTACTAATATATTTCTGTTGCACATGTGTCACTTCAACATGTTGATAGTTGAAAGGTTAATTCCTGAACTTTTCTACTTTATAAATGTCAGTGGAAATATACATGCAAGATAATATGTCTGTGTGTGTATATGTGCATGTTTCTCTTTCTCTCTGTAGATATATTTTAGACCTAGTAGCTTCTAATGCTTTTCTAGCTTTTTGGCTTTTAAACTGTAACTTTTAAAATATAATAATTTTCTTTACTTCATAATATGCGACACAAAAGTCTGGTCTATTTTGATAATGATAATAAAATTGATCTTTCTTATAACAGTTGGAAAAAGTAATGTTTGTTCATCTTGAGACAAGATAACTAAACCAATGGAGGATTATTGTTAGCATAGAAGTCCGTTAAGCCTGAAAGAGCTAAACAAAGCAGTAAAACGAATCATGAATTAGTCTAATGATACAGTAAATGTGGATATTGTAATGTCAGTTTTAAGCATGTACTGGTAATGTGTTTAGAAAACAGTGGGAAATACAGCTTAGCTAAAAGCTTTTTTTTTATATTTTAGAGACATGCATGTTGCAAACATAATCCTTCATTTGTTAAAAATTATTTCAAACTGTCTACATTTATACTATATTAGCACCTGGATAAAACCATTATTGTATTCAAAAGTTCAGAAAAACAGTTATTGAATTGTAAGATTCAACTTGTGAAACCAACGATGCCTTTCAAGAACACATTGACTTGTATTTTTTACAGTGCATCTAGATGATGAAAGTAATTGAAGTATTTTTTAAATGCAACATTTTAAAAATTGTGATCACATTAATTAGTTTTTAAAATTTTGATGTACAAGATATGATAGATAAAAATGTTATTTTGTTCATGTAGCAATCCATTACTAAGGAGGTATCCCTTTTTGATTTCCGAAGAACAGACGTTCCACCATTATTGCTGATCCTTGATAGGAGGGGGGATGCAGTCACCCCACTCTTGAATCAAGTGAGTAATTACCAGATATATGAAGCCAAGAATTGACAAATATGATAGAATTATGATCTAAGGAAGTTTTTTGCTTAAAACAGTATGTAGAATTCTTATTTGAGATGTAAAATATTGTTTCAAATGTATTCAAAACAAAAATATCTAAGTTAGAAATTATTTAAATGGGAAGATCTTTTTTAAAATGTCTTTTAACAAAATAATTGTCTGGTTAAAACAAATGTTTGATAATTTGATAATTAATAGTAAATACTTAAATGAAAAAAGCCAATATTTGAAAAAAGGACTCCTAGGCTGGGACTTAAGCCTGAAACTTGTGGCTAACAAGGCTGGTGTTCTACCATTGATCTACTTAAGAGTACAAACAGGTTATAGGTAGAAAGACCGAATTATATGAAATCTGTCGGAGACTTACAGTTAATTATTAAGATGCATTAGAAAACCATGAAATAGTAATGTTATTATATCATAATAATTAATGATAAATATTTAAGGGAAAAAAAGACTTCTGGACTGGAACTTGAACCTGGGACTTCTGGCTAACTGCAAACATAATCCTTCATTTGTTAAAAATTATTTCAAACTGTCTACATTTATACTACATTAGCACCTGGATAAGACCATTATTATTAATAACAATAACAAATTAATAACACAGTGTTGACTTGTATAGCTTATTACTATGAGTATGATCACCATACTATGTCATGATCGGTACAAAGCCCAAATCACAAGAAATGTATCATGGACTTATCTTTCGTTTACCAGCTTACTCACTTAATTAATTAGTATTAAGTAGTTTAAAGTACAATGAATCAGAGAATTCTTGTTTTAAAATAATCAGTGGTTATACATTCAAAGTCGTTTCAAAAGAATACTAAAGTATGTGTTATTTCAGATAAAAAAATTTAAGTAATCAGACTTATTATAAGAGTTAACTGATTTGTGGGAAACATTATTCATATCTCCTGGTGGGACAGCAGTAATTCTCCAGATTTACAATGCTACAATCAGAGGTTCGATTCCCTTTGGTGGACACGGCAAGTAGTCTGATGTGGCTTTTCTATAAAACAAACACATTATTCATCAGGTGAAACAGTACTTGTACATTTATATAATGATTGACAAGGTTAGCCTTTTATGTCTTTTTGACTGTGTTTGACTCATCGTGCAACATTAAAAACTTCAGGATAAACGAAAGACAAGGATAATGTGATTTGAGCTTGTGATCAGATTAGTAATTAATTGAATCCAGAAAATCCTTTATTTCTTCTTTTGATTAGCTTTTCTTATGATATAAACATTGTTCACTATAACATTTACTATTGCAAAGAAATCATCACTTGGTTATATTGTTACTTAAAATAATTTGTTCTAACAATTAAAAATAGTACTTATACCATCAAGTACAAAGTCTTTGGAGAAGTGACTGCTAAGAGCTATAATTTGTTACATCGTCATTAAGAATGATTACCTCAGGTGTCTGGCTATTCTACTATAGTGTGCTTAGATTTCATTATTTTTTATAACTTTTTACACACAGGTTATAGTAATTAGCTAGCAATGAGTGTCTCATCGTGCACATTTATTTATGCTAAATTTAAATGGAGGTTGGTGTTATTGTTTCTGACCTAAAAGAATCTGCCTGAGAAAACTAACTGAAAAACCCTACAGTGTTTTTAAAAGGGATATTACAGTTACAATTTCAAACTCTTAACTTCAAGTTATGTATTTGAAGATCACATCCCCAGCACACAATCACAAAATTGGCTTCAAACTCTTTACCAAACACAATATGTTATGACACATGCAAACATTACTAACCTAATGTATACTAAACTAATGTATACTAACCTTGATGCCCTTACTGTCTTCTAGACTCTTCTTGTTAACCCACATAGCTTGGTGACTCATCCTGTTGTCCTTTCCACCTTTAAGAAATTTCCTGACTTAAACCCACTTGTTCAGCTGTTACATGAACATTTTCATACACCCAGTCAAAATACTGTATTCCTGGGTTGTCTGTGTTTTTAGCTCATGTTTATTTTCATGGAAAAAAAACTGAAGATTGGGCTTGAGTATAAATAGCATATTTGGAAGTAACAGGCTTTTACTCTTATATAACTGTAAGTTGTAAATATACAGATTCATCAGAAAGTACAGATATAGTTTATGCTTGTATAAGAATAATGAACAGTTGAAAGTTTTATTTTGAAGTTGTGGTATTTTTTTAATTATTTTCTTTGATAAAAATTTCTTTCACAAAAATCATGTACAGTCTGTAACTTTCTCAGTACAGGGATCCCTCGATTAATGCGTTTTCGTTTAGTGCGCTTAAATCTTTTTATAACCAATATTTGATTAGTGCGGTAACACACATTTCATTTTAACCATAGTAATTGAAAAGTAAGTTTTAGGCACCGAAATTAATTTTATTTTTAAATTAAAAATAGAAAATGGGTAACTATTTTACTTATCAAGTTATTACTAGAGTTAAAAATATGCAAGATGTTTGGAAGACAGTTCTTCCACACTGTGCACAGGACGTCACAGGCTTTTCAAAAGATACATAAGAGGTAATTAAAGAGATTACTCATATTGGAAAAGAACTTGGCTTCGCTGAGATTGACGATGAAAATGTGCAAGAATTGCTAGAAGCTCATTCAGAAGAACTAACCAATAAGGATCTTATAAATTTGGACACTCAGAGAGCATATGAGAACATTGATGAATGTGAAGAAATCTTACCTACCCGCCAGCATAAGAAGGAATTAGAAGAACTTTTCACGGTTATTGAAGAATATAAGGGAAAATGTTTAGAAACAGATCCTGATGAAGACAGAAGCCTTCAAATTTGCAGAAAAATTGATGAGGCAATTTCTCAGTACCGCCAATTATATGAAGAACAGAAGAATACGATGCGACAAGCTACTCTAAATAAGTTTT